CAAAAACATACAACACCAGGTATTCGCTGGTCGTCACCGACCCAACTACTAATCCGGCCCTCATTGGCTTATCTATGGGAGAGCGGACGGGATCCCGAGTTTTCCAATGGGTATGGTCGTATGTGATGGTTGAAGTTCGCGATGGTGCCCATGATCGACTTCGCAGACAACACCGTGATGCTGTCTTTCGCCACAACACAACCTCAACAAGTCTGAAAGAAAATCCTCAAAAGAACACTAACGGCGTCTAGCGCTTCTCGAAACGGTGGCAAGAATTCAAACGGAACGGTAGTGGAGCCCGTGGTCCCGTTGAGTTCAGATCGTGACAGATATCCGTCCGTTCAAGTTTCGGCGGCCTGCCGCTGGGGGTGTCACAGACTCACGTTCCCTTTGAGATGACTAAGCGGCGAACGGCATCTAGTGGATGGAAATTTGAATTACTGTGACTTTCCCAACGGGCAAAGAGCTGGTCGAAGCTGAGCTGAGCTGGAGCTGGAGCTTCAAGCTGGGTAGAGCTGGAGCTCCCAAAGGGGGGCAGGGGGGCGAATGGCAAAGCTCTCCGACATGCCAAGCCCTACGCACAGGATTCACGGTTCCGACGACCGCTACGGCCATCTCTGCCTTAGCTTCTTCTCGAGGCGATGGACGAATGGGGATTTGAGTACGTTTCGTCCTGGAAATGATGCGATTCGTCAGAGTACGGGAAGGGCCTCGAAGGGAGGTAGGTTCTGGACCTTTGACGCGCCGAACAGCGAATGGGCGGTGGCCCAAGGGGGATGAGATGTGTCAGAGGAGGACCGAGAGCCCGAGATCCATGACGGCCTGAAGGGTGTTGAGGTAGGTGATGGGATGATCTGAGATTTAGCCTCCTTTCAAACCCGTGGGGGAGGGAACACTCACCCAAAGTAGTAGTAGCAGCTATCACCAAAGCTTGAAATGGGGGAGAGACGGGATGAACTCTGAGTTAATCGGGAATCGAAGCGGGCCCGAGGCCTTCCACTTTTCATGATTATTTGGCATTATCGCCGACGTTAATTCGCCGCTCACTTGATTTTGCGATCTCGGAGTGATCCCTTCTTTTTTTGAGTTGAAAGGTAGGCATTGTCGGGTTGCCGAGGGGATCTGGTTCCGCCCCAAGCTCTCACAATTAAGCTTAGAAGCTTTTGCTTATGTCCTAGAGCTTTGTGTTTGGACGATATTGACAGTTTTGATGTTTGTATTCCATCAAGATTAGCGTTTGTTTCGAGAGTCTCAAAACAGGATGTCCCCTTCACTCCCGTCTCGTTTGTTGATGTGTTTGGGAAGCCAAATTGCTGGGTTGAACTAAACGGCCTCATGTACAAACGACCCTGATACTAGTCTATAACTCTGCTCACTTTCCGTCGGCTCCGTTAAGCTTCATGTTCGCCTTTCTCTTACTTCGAACGGGCGGTTGTAGCTTCCCGCTTCGCTAAGTCAGACCCCTGCTGTATTGTCAAAGATTGAAGATTGAAACTCTTGACCCTTACCCTTTCCACAGACTTTTGGCAACTCCGCATAAGGCTTTCTGATAGGCCCATAGGAGCCGCCAGTATTAGAACTAACAAATCTGTACAAAGACGGCTGATGCTTTGCAGGGCTGAGATCGGGAATCGCTTGGCTGTTGTCAGGCGATGATCAGACTACCCCGAGGCGCCTCCAGAGGAACTTACCGGGCAGGCATTGATCGCTCGGACTACCTTTCCTTACCGAGGGATTCCTTTCCGAATCCTCCCGGCTCTGTGACTCAATGATCCAGATACTGGCCACTGCTTTCAGCATGTGTTATGTGCTATGCATATAGGCATTGATGGGCTCGAGACTCGAAAAGAGTGCGTTGTGGTCCAAGTTTGACGCTTGAGAAGCCTCTTTCCATAGGCCATCTTTGTGATCTTCGCTAGGTCCGTTGAGAGAAATGCTCATCGACTTTAGCTCGAGTTAGCTTATCGAAAGACGCGATGATTCTAGCGAATTCAAAATTGCGAGACGCTAATTGGAATGCCTCACGGAGCATTCGGAAGCCGTCAATATGTGGATTGGTATCATGCAGCAAAGACCATCAGAGGAACACGTGAACACAAGGCTCTGGCCACAGTCTGGCTTTCCCCTTAGACGTAAAAGTCCAGGTGACCATTTCGAATACTGAGATTAGGCGATACCCTTGCGTTGGAAGGCGAACCAGTGACTCCATACCCAAGACTTCAAAGAAGACTGAACGATATTGGCCTGACTGGTACAGGTCTCAACCCAGCTGAGTTCCTGAATAAATTTGGTCAATTGTTTACAGAAGCTGGATGCAACCATTTTGAATAGACACAAATTGATCTTGTAAACTTCAAGAATACGCTATTCTTGAATAAAAAAGGTAATCAGAGGGAGACCTGAAGGATCCAAGGTGTCAGGCCAAAGCCCCGATAGTCTTTTGACTGTTAACTAGACGTGCATGGATGTATCCCAACTGCCTTGCTCTACATAATGCTCCCTAGTTCTCTCCTCCGCAGCTCTCAAACAATCACTCGTCACAGGGGTGTCTCTGGGGATAAGCTTTACCTTGAAGTCCTTCGGGATCGCCACCAAAGCCGTCTTGAACTGGTTATACTCGACATAGTCAGTATTCGGAGGTTCTTCTTCGCTTGCAACAATCTTGTACGAAGATAGCAGCCGCACCAAGGCCGCATATAGTAGACGCTGGGCGATGTACTGCCCGGAGCAGCCGCGGGAACCCAATCCAAAGCTGAGGTGACCGACGCCTGAGATCTCCTTTTCTGTTGGGGGATTAAGACTTTCAAGCCACCACTCGGGATCGAAATGACCGGCATCATCACCAAAATGTCTGACATCTTGCACAACGTCAGTAAGACTAAGAAACCTTCAGTCACTTGGGAAGAGAGTGACGCACCATGATTTCCGGCTTGTGCGTTGACCAAGATCATTGTCTTAGGGGGTATGATGGCTCCGTTCCAATTCACTTCGGTGACGGTCTTTCGGGGAAGACTCATAGAACTGACTGTGTAGTACCTCCCAGCTTCCCTAATAATGGCGTTGATGTAGGGAATTTTCTCTTCTGCGTAGCAGGAAGCCCATGCTTCGCGCACGTCTGGGTAGTAACGCTTGATGTCTTCGTAAGCCCGGTCCTGCCAGGCCTGTCCCTCCTTTGTGGCAAGGGATCCGATAGCCGAGGTGAGAGTCCCCGGTATCGTCTCGAATCCTCCGGACACAAGCGACAGGCAGATGGACGAGACTTCAACCCCGCTAAGCTTAGTTTCTTCGTTCTTCAAAATTGCTGCTGAAATGCAGGGCTTATCGGTGCCCCGCTTGATCTGCTCCCGCACTTTATCCAGAAGCAGATTCAAATACGCGTCTCGGCGTTCCCTGAGATCTTTAGAACGACGACTCTTCTCGTTGTTTGGGAAGTACCGCATGATGGGGACGTAGTCTTGGGTGTTCTCTGAAGCACTACGCAAGAGCGAGATTGCCGAACCAACGTGCAGAATCTCGCGTAACAGGTCATCGTAGACAGCGTCCATTCGAATACCGTAGCAGAGCGTCAAGGTGGTGTTCAACGCATATCGCTGGATATACGGTCGCACGCTAATCTCCACCTCACCGTTGCGACTGTCCTTATGCAGATCTCGGAGGATGCAATAGCTCTCGAGGTCGAACATCGGATAGTAACTCCGAAGGGCGGGTCTTCCAAGCGCCGTGCCAGCGGCCTTGCGTTTTCGGCGGCACGAGTCATCCCAGGGCGACGACCCGACCGTGAAGCCCTCGTCCATCGACCGATGGTCGCCACTGGTAATATAGATCATTTGAACAGATAGGATTGACTGGGTAAGATAGTAAGAGACCTAGGTAGCTCGTCTTTTGGCTTTTCAGCTCACGCCTCGTTGACTTCCATCATTTCTTTGTACCTAGTAGATATCTGTTCAACCATTCGACGTATCTTGCCAGCCACAGGGAACTTGACGCTAAGCTTGTCAAATAGCTCGATAGTCAAGTCAAGGTCCGCCACTGCTCCCTTGTCTCTCAAAACAGAGATGAGATTATCAGGTTGGACAGTTGTGGCGTATATTAGGGACAAAGTTGCGGTAAATATCGAGAGAAGGTTGAGCCAATTGTATGCAAGACACCTTTGGCGGTGCGTATTAGATACTTGACGAATCGACATGGATGCAGCTTCCGCTAACACTTTGACACGGGGTTTTGGCAGAGTCGGGAACAGCGGAGATGGTCGATACAACATGGCGACGTGGAGATAATAGTTGAAGTCATACCAGCTGCTGTTGAGGTGCGGCACTGCAGCGTCGGTGTTTGGAAGAGGAAATGGCATATTACGACGCCAGTTCAGAAGTCTTTGGTGGAGCGAGTTTGATACCTCTTCGCGCTGTTCGGCATTGAGGCTGGCTGACATTCGGTGAGAATAGACTGAAGTCGTGATGTTGCTGGCAATCTGCCGTAGCTCGAGGATGTGGAGAGGAACGGTCAGTATAGAAGGCTTAAATGAGTTCTCGGGCAGATCAATTTGTGCCCCAACGTCACTATCATCTTCCACCGCGAAGGGCTTGAAATTTGAGTCAGTTGATGGGCGAGAAGTTGAATAATTAAGTCCCGAGAGAGTGCCTATCTTACCGTCACATCGATGTCATCTTCATTGATGGCGAATGGGCGACCGAGAGCTATAGATACTACGCTGTTGAATAGGATCAGTATGCCAGGCATTGCGGTATTGTGGATCGTGAGGACTCACCGATCCATCATGTAAACGGAAAAGAAGAGCCTCTTCCGCTTTTCAGACACGTCGGCTGGTAGGCCTTCGTAGGTTGAGGAAGCATGCATGCCTAATCCAATTGCCATACGTGCACCGAGACCAACCAATGTCCATGTATCTGTTATCAAAAAAGTGAGCAAGAGTATCCAAACGAATTTCTGGCATCGCTTACTGGGTCCAAGCTGGTTGAAGAAAGAATAAGATACTTGCAGAAGTAAAACTTCCAACGCGGCCTTCAGTTATGTGTCAGCCTTCATATCCCCCATAAACTCACTTACACGGAGATTCGTACCATGTATCCATAATCGAGAGCCCCCTCAAAGTGCTCGAGTGCTTTCTTGTAGTACATCATTGATTCGTGCTCATCTGAAAGGGTGACTGAGCATTGCGCAGTTGATCCAATGGCAAGGACCATCCATAGGCGAAATTGACATAGGGATGATTGAGCTAAAGCAAACTGAGGATCCGCTCGAACATGCTCCAGTATATTATTGAACTCCTGGCGATGAACGATCGGGTATAACGTATGCGAGTGAGCAAAGTAGAAACGTATGAGCTGGTCAACATGACTGCCTTCAAGAGAGACCTGTTGCTCTGGAACGGAGATGGGCTCGGTTGGCGCGGTCGGGGAGAACCCGTCAAGCATCGAAGGGTAGCACATGAAAGGGTCTCTGAATCCACTGAACAACGTTGAATCTAAGAGGTCTGAAGTCGAGGAGGGAAGGTTCAACTGCGGCCATATGCCACCCTCGGGTTCAAAATGAGCGAAGCTAAAGTCGGCCTTGTCGGGATTCAGACGCCGAAGAACGGTTTGTGTCAGCTTGGCGAAGGAGAGGCCGGAGGAAGATCCCAAATGACGATCAGCCGTTGCCTCGAAGGAGAGGATTTTGAGCTCTTCGACGAAGGAAGGGGAGGACTGCAAGAGAGGCAGCTGGGTAGGCGAGGGCTCATAAAGCAAGTTCGTGCTGTTTGCCTCCGTCTCTTGACGACCGAGGGCAATATTAATATCACTTGTATCCGGATTCATGAGTTCCGCTCGAGAGTCTAGTTCTCTTCCTGTCGCGGATCTTAGTGAATTGAATTCCTTTTCGAGAGACTTGACTTTTGTCTCGAGACTGCGCACGTATCTATTCAATTTGTTTTATTCAGCAAACGTCAAAGAGTTTAATACTATCAAAAAAGGATATCACTTACGTGACGGGGTAAGATGCCATAACACGATCATCATCGAGGAAGCTGCACGACACTCGAGCCCCGCTACAGTTCCTGCATTGGGGCAACCCGCGATCACATCTTTTCTTTCGTCGGTGACATCGCTTGCACGACGTTTTAGCTTGAGCGTCCGCAAATTCTGGTGCCATGTCTGATGACTGTGACAACGTTGGGATGTAAGTGAGAGGACAGTCGGATCTCCCGACGGCAGTTCGCGGTACGTTGAGGAATTACCCCGCCCTCGTCTGATAACGGGAGAGGTTGCATATCGGCTGGGCCGACGACCAGCGAAAGAGTCCGATAAGCGATCAACCGCTTACAGAGGCGAAGTTGAGCATCGAACAGCTTTTGACATACCTCATAAGTGGTCCGTACACTTCGTTGAAGATTCTAAGGATGTCTTCACTCGACATTACGCGACTGTTTTCGGTCAAGGGCTATGTGGCCGTGGTGACCGGAGGCAGTAGCGGACTGGGCCTAATGATAGCAAAGGTATGTAACCCAACATCTCAGTATAATGACTCAAGGCCGAGAGACCATGATCCTTTGTAGCAACTTGAATTCTCATTTCAGATTACTAGGGCCTCGTCACAAATGGTGCCAAGGTGTACGTGGCTGCTTTACCAACTGACTTCATTGATGAAGCTGTCAAAGAGCTCAACGAGTCGGGCAAGTGTTCTGGAGGGAATGCAATAGGGTATTGCAGAAAATCTAGCTCATGAAATCGCATCTCTGACTTCTGCAGTGTACCATGCGACCTGTCGGCGCATGATGAGGTAACAAGGCTGGTAAAGTATGTTCAACAACGCGAACACAGCCTTGACTTATTAGTGTCAAACGCTGGTATTCGACGGGATCCGCTGGATCATTGCGACCTGGAGACTGATAATGTCCTCGAGTTGCAAGCTTCAATGCAGTCTTCGAGGCCGTTTGACTGGAAAGACACATTTTCCATCAACGTCACATCACACTATTACCTGGCTGTCGCATTCCTTCCCCTGCTGCATGCTGCCGCTTCCCATAATGATGACGACGGTCCCGGTAGTCGTCAAGGACGTGGCGCCATGATCATGACGAGCTCATGTGCTAGTATGCACAACGTTACCAATGTTGACCTGACGAGCTACGCTGCAAGCAAAGCCGCTACGGATCACCTAGTGAAGCTTCTGGCCGCCAAGTTCAGAAATTTCTACGTTCGAGTTGTGGGGTTGAATCCTGGCTGTAAGTGACAACAAAGTCGTTGGTAGCTGAGATTACTGATCATATGGAATTCCCCTAGTCTTTCCAAGTCGTATGAATCCTGTTGGAGAGGAAGGCAATGTGTTTAGTTCCTTGTTCAACAGGGTTCCTCCCAAAAGAGCTGGTCAAGAGGAAGACATCGCCGGCGCGGTGATTTATCTTGCTAGCAGAGCTGGGGTAAGCCTCAAGTCTTCTCGTTCCGACATTCATGTCCCAAATTTCAACACCAGTTGCGATCCTATCCTTGCGTTCTTTTATTAACTGACCTACGAAATAAGTCGTACGTTGACGGCATCAACTTATGCGTTGATGGTGGCCGCATTCTTGTGGCAAATGGGCAGGAATGAAGTTTCGCGGATAGATGCATCAACGAGGCTTTGCAACATGGGATTAGATTGATTAGTATTCACTGTAGTATTTACTTCATGATACTCTCCCTTCATCAAAAGTAGCTCTTGTAGCAGCGTTATCCGTCGCAGCCCTCGCCTCATACGCATGTCTCTCCTCTTCAGGCAGAGCTTCCCACCGTCTCAACACTTCCTGCCAGTCATTTTCTTGCTCATCGCGAAACACGCTCAGCCCGGTGATCATCCCCGGGCGCGCAGGCACGCCAGGAAGCCTCTCCCCACGGCTCGCAAGCCCTGCCAAGTTCCTCCCTTGTTGCTGATGCTCTCCTGCAAATGGAAGAGCAAAAGCTGCCGGCCATTCGGCTAGAGCTGTCTCATGCTGAGCCCCAGTCTCACATCGTAGCATCTCCGACCAAGCACGGCACGTTACCCTTTGTTCTCCGGATAGTGCGTGCCAACCAAGCTCAACGTCATAACCTGAAATACCCGCTTCGTTAGCGAACAGGGTGATTGGGGTGAACGGCGTAGCTGCAGGTGGCCATGGGCCAGATCCGAAGCGGTCAGCGCGCGAGGGAGGAGCTCTGACCGGCCATGGTGACGGGGAGCCGATGGTAGAAAATAGAGATGGAATCTATGAAGATGCTCGTATAGTGGCGAGGTGTTCCCTGATCCGAGCGGCCAACTCTTCGTCCAGGTTGCCGAGCTGATGCTGCTCGTGGAGAGCCCTCATGGCGTTGATCTTACTTTACATGGGGCGAAGATTTGTCCAACTTAAGCAAAGAATCCGCTTTGCCGCAATCCTTTTCGTCTCATTGCAGGCAGCAGTGATCATGAAATGTCTTGGACGAAGATGCAGGTGGATTCACGGTGTTGAGAGATATAGTCTTAAAACTTTTAATTGGAATAACCCTCAGTTGTATTTCTGCCCATGGGATATCTATTTCTTTCACCCTCAACGCCGATGATACAATGGACGGATATGTCAACACGATTTTACCCAAATAGTTTGTCTAGAACCTTTTCAAAGACGTTCCTGGTCATGCCCGTTAGAACCACTTGTTGATTATCGGATAAGATTGGCAACTTACTTGGCAGGAGTAGGTACGAACGTCCTCTCATACTCGTCAATCTCATCCTTGTTGCGGTACAGGTCGACCTCTTCAGGTTTGAAGATCTTGGTCTTCTTGAGGAATTTCCAGCCCAGGTACAGCACAGGGAAAATGCCGACCATTGTATACCTCGTGCTTGTCAGTATACCATGCAGGCTAGCTAAAAGACGATGGTTGGCTTACGAGAAGAGAAAATCAGGGATACTCCAGTATCCATCCAGAGGCAAGAAAACGGTGTACCCTCCAACGAACGTCATGATGAAGGTGCCGATGAGACCGTACCAGGCAGCGTACGGCTGGAACCAAGCCTTGTAGGGAAGGGTATCGCGACTGATGCCTTGAGCCTTGAGCGCACGATAGAACCCAAGATATGCCGTGCACATGCAGGAGAAGTTGATCAACTGCGACGCGGTGACCAAGCTCACAAACCAATTCAGCACAACAGCAGTGTTGGCACTGAGTTGCAGGAAGCTGAGCAGGCCGATGAGCAAGACGGCGATGACGCAGTAGACCGGAACGCCCTTCTTCGTGCACTTCTTGAAAAACGCGGGCGCCTTGCCCTCAAGTGCCAGTCCGTACAGCGATCGTGAAGCACAGTAGACGTACGAATTACCCGCAGAGAAGGCGGCTGTGAGGACCATGGCGTTGACGATGTGGGGCAGGCCGCTGATCTTGAGGCGATTCATGGCGACGACGTAGGGCGAGGCCGAGGCGCCGGGTTCGCCGTCCTTGAAGGCGCGGGTAAGCTCTTCGTCGTTGTAGGGGACGAGGATGCCGACGCAGAGGGAGCCAAGGACGAAGAAGGCGGTCAGGCGGTAGAAGACGGCGTTGAAGGCGCGGGGCATGACTTTGCGCGGGTTCTCGGCCTCGCCGGCGGCCATGGCAACGTAGTCCGGTCCTGCGATGGTGAAAGAAGCCTGGATCAGGCATTGCAGGAAGCCGAGAAAGCGTCCGAGGGAGCCGCTGTAGTATAGCTCTGTGAATGCGCCTGGTTCGTACCAGTATCTAGATGGGTCAACTCGGTTAGAGGACTAGGCTGATGGGAGAGAGTAGAGACAATTGCCTACCGGAAGCCGAATCTGTCTCCAAGCGGGTTTCCTATGGACAAGATAAGTATTGTGTTTCCAATTGGCGAGCATGTTACGTATGAAGTTGCATACCTCCCAGCATGACGATGAACGTAAAGATGATGAGTCCCACGATGAGCAAGAACTTGCCAAGCGCAGCCCAGAACTCTGTCTCGCCGTACCACTGCACCGCCATGACATTGATAATACCATAAAGGACGAGAATGATGGCAATGATGCCTCCAGCGGGTACGACGTCGCTCCAAAAGTGGATGATGAGGTTGCAGGCGACGACCTCAAACGGTACAAGAGCAGCCTCAAAGACGAAAAAGTTCCAGCCGGCAGCGAACCCAAAGGCCTCATCGACGTAGCGACCGGCGAAGCGGATGAAGGGACTCGAAATCGGGAGGTAGGTGACCATCTCAGCCATGCTCAGGGTCACGGCCAGGATGAAAGTACACCAGATGGTGAAGGCGAGGAATAAGCTGGCGGGGCCGCCATTGAGCAAACCCCTTCCGATTTGAACCTATAGTTGTGTGAGTACCTGATATGCGATGTGAATTCCTATCGACTCGTGCTTCAAGGTGACGTACGTAAAGAGCGGTTCCTGCATACAATGTGAGTTGGGTTGTTCTCTGTGTATCACGTCTAAGGACCTACCAATTGTTCCGCCAATGCCAATCAGTTGGATGTGGCGCGACTTGAGCTTGCGGTGAGTATGGTCTCCCTTGTCGCCAGAATCGAGCGAAGACCGAAATCCGCCGTCTAAGGGTTCGCCATATGGCTCACCGACGCCCTTCTCATCGGGGAAACGGCCATGTTCGGAGTAGCCGCCTCCATAATTCGGAAGGCCGTCGCGGTGTCCCGCTCGCTCGATGCCGGTGGATGACATGGTCGGTCGGTCGGGACGAGGGGAAAGATGTGGGGGATTAGGCCCGGTTTAGTGGGGGATCTCGGCGCGGCCTCGTTTCGAGTCGAGCCGGAAGAGTGAACGGAGGAGAAGGGGGGCTCGACAGTCCAGATGCGCCCTCGTGACGGGTTGAGCGAACTTGATGATCTTGGAATTGATTTGGAGCCTTGGAGAAGTCACAGTTATGTAAACCTCAAATTACCAAAGGGCTTTGAGAAGAAGACAGAAGAATTGGACTTTGAATTCCATGAGGGTTTCACACTGCACACAAGCACCGGTCGATGTCTCGGGGGTTGATGTGGATTTGGCTCTTCGCGTTGGAAGAAGGACGTTAGGAAAAGCCTCACGTAGGAGAAGAGGAAGAAGAGCGAGAAAGGACTGAGAGAGCTCTTCGGCGCGACCAACACTGCGACCGCAGATCCTTTTCAAGAATTCCCAAAGATCAGGGACCGCAGCAATTACACTGCAGCGTCGCAGCAGACAGAGAGGCGGGAACAGTGGGGTGAGACTGAGGGGTGAAGGACTGCAAGAGGGAGAGGTCTGCAGGAGAGTGGATGTCTCTGTGCGAACCATGCCCAACGCGGGATGGGCCCGAAGAGGTATGAGGGCGTAGTGAGGAGGCGGCGACCAGGGGATGGGGGGAAGATGGGGGCGGTCCAGCTTGTTTCTTCCGGGGATCGTTCCCTGTCTTTTCCTATCCTCGGAGTTCATGCCAGACGGGTTATTGTATCTCCATTCAAGAGTCTGTGGCCGGCGTAGCTATCTGTAGTAATGAAAATACTTTGGTTTTTTATCACCATTCTGGTGGTAATAGCTCAGTCTCTCGGGTTGGCTTCTCTAATTAGACTCCGAGGAAAATGTTTCCGAGTCCCGGCAAGTCGTTGGTCCCTGAAGACGAATCTGCAGCGCGGGCAAAGACTGGCCAGAGCTCGAGAGTCGACAAGGTTCACCCATAAACATTCTACAAGAGGGGTACTTGGATGAACGTAACTATGTGTACCATGGTGCTTGATGACGCGGTAGAGAAGATAGGGAGCCTTATCAGACCTGTTCGAGTAGGTAAGTAGAGTCTTCAGAGACGCCGCGTGTTGTGCGACGGTCACATTGCTTGCGTCGTTGCTTGGTGCTATGATTTCCCACACTACTATCAAGCGTGATCGCCCAAATATTTACAGGCGGGAGAAGCAGAATGAGAGATTCGGTGACGGAGAGCCCACTATGTTGGGTCAGCTGCAGGTGTCTGGTCCTCTGCAGGATGCACATCGCTGCCAGTGACATACCGATAGCTCTCGGTCTATCTGGACCGGGGCTCTCTTGATTGCCATTGATTGACTGCTGACAGCAGTTCGAGACCATTCGCCGGCGCGACCCAGCAGCTTGGCATCGGTGTGTCCGGTCCATGTTCCATCCCACGCGGCCCAGCAGCGTGGCTTGCGCTGCTTATGGAAAGCGTAGTACGACCTTTCGACGGGAAGAACGAGGCATTTTCATACCAAGTGAAGATGAGACTTTTGCCAACGATTGGCTGCCCATTGCGTGCTTCGTGTGGGTGAAGGCGCCGTTCCAGCTGCCGTTCGCCGCATGGATAGCAGGTCCGGTTTATTTGAACCACATACCTGGTCCTGGGCTCTGGCGAAATATGATTGAGCAATATTGCGATGGACCCCTTGAGCCAAGGCAGAGCGAAGCTTTTGGGGATTAGCGACAAGCAATGAGGCTGCCCGGGGACAAGAACTGTTTTATCGCGGGATGGCTAGGCGCATTGGCGACTTGGCTTTCGAGGGCAAAGAAGCTTCATTTGCTGCTCACATCACGTCAAGTACCCCGCGGGAGACGGAAATGCCTGCTCTGTGATTGCGCAGGTGGCTGGTTGAGTTGTCTGCGCCTCTAGCAGCACCCAGGAAAGAATCCCATTCCCATTGCCCGATTGCGTTACCGTAAGTTTTGATTGTGCCTCTTGGCATCTTGGCAGAAACATGAAGCCAATTGCTTTGCCAACTGCTATGCCAATTTGCCGTTGAGAGCCGGTCGGGATCCCTTGGCAGGCTAGAGTTCTACGTCACGCTATCAAGCAATGATAACTCGTCAACTGCTCTAGAGCGTCTCTCATTGGGCGGGCGAAAGATGGATGAGCCCATTGTTTACGGCGTCGACGGCGTACCTACACAGTACCTAGTGTCTCCGCGCCGCCTTCAAAGTCTTGGCCTCCTGGAAGGTAACGTATCCACGAATTTGAGATGGCCAAAGTGAGACTGATGGTATCATTGGTCCAAGTCCGAATGATCAAATGGAAGCAAGCTACGGAGTACTGGTGACCCCATTGGATTGAGTTTTGCGAGAAATTGAAATGAGGACTTATTGACTTGGGCCGTCTTCTTGTTCCTCCTAGACCTCGGCCGGGTCGCGCTCACTACATCCACCCAAAACCTCGGAACGGAATCACAATTCGGTGCCATTCGTCAATACTCAACGGCTCATTCAGTCATTGACGTTCAGTGGTACATGAATACTCCAGAAGCGGGTGTGTGCACATAGCGTCGTCTGGCGCAGGAACGCGCGCCGCGCCGCGAACCTTCAGGTTTTTGGCGGCGCCCCAGTGCCTAGAACCGCTGCATTCATTGCCCTTAAACCTAGTTGGAACTCCTCGCTGGAAGTCGCAGTTCACCAGGGAGAATTCCTCCTAGTTCCACCGTCGGGACCCTCCCGAAATTTCCAGTCGACATCCATTTTCACGTGCTCTCAAGCATTTTGATAAAGAGCGAATACGGAGTACACGCTTCCAATGAGGCTTTCGTTTCAGAGTACATTACTTGTTGATACATGAATATGTGCTCGTGTGCAGCAAGGCGGCATCTAGAGCTCCTAGGAAATTGACCACAACCAGCGCAGTAACTACGCTTACTTTTGATTTTCTCAGCTGTTCGCAACTCCAGCAATTACCATAAGCAAACAATGAAAAGGCAGCACACTACTCTAAAGCTACACTATATCGGGCCATCATCGCAACTTCGAAGGCTCGATGAGCAATGTGTCTGAAGCAGCCTTGTGACGCGAAAGAAGGTTCCAACGCGCTTAGGACTTTACTCTATAGTGTGACCCGGAGTTCGTACCTTCAGCGACAAGCACCAATCACAATGGTCTATTAGTCTAGTTGGTTAGGACGTCGGATTCTGATTCTCAGAACTTTCCGTAGGCCCAGGTTCGAATCCTGGATGGACCTCATTTGCTTTTGCCTCAACTACAAACTCTAGTCAAGTTTCATTTTTACCATTGTCAACTAGCTCTGCGTCTTCCTCGTCATATTGCTCATTTTGGGCATGTTCCGCCCAGACGTTCACCACCTGGCGACCTTCTCATCAGACCAGTACTCTCCAGTCTTGCCACCAATATCCGCAATCGCCAGATGCACAGGTGTCTGCGCACCCTCATCAGGCGTCTTTGTGCCGCCGCCTCGCGTCATATCCGTGACCACGTACCCGGGATGGCACGAGTTGACGAGCAGCTTGCTTCCCTTGTCCTGCAACTCCTTGGCCACGGCCTTGGTCATGCCAATCTCGCCAGCTTTAGAGACCGCGTACGCGGCGCTGGGCCAACCTTGCTTCTCGTGCGTGCCCTTGTCGACCGCGGCGGTGAAGTCTTCCATTAGCTTGGTGACGTCCGACACGGACTGCGCGTCAAGGAAGCGCTGCTTGATGTCTGGCGAGTACTTGCTTAGGGACCCTGATACCGATGCCACGTTGACGATGCGCCCGTCTGGCTTCATAACCGGGATCCAGGCGCGTGTCGCTTCCAGTGTACCGTAGTAGTTGCATGCCAGAGTGTTCTTCACCACGTTTGAGTCTTGTGCACGGAGGGTTAGCTTCTATGTTGAACCATCGCAGCACTTGATGATCGCGCTTACCGAACCCTTGCATGGCAATACCAGCGTTGTTGATGATGAAGTCAACGCCATCGGGATGTTCCTTCTTCAGAAATGATGCGAGGTTCGAGATGCTGGATGAATCTGAGATGTCAAGCTGGCGGTACTTGATGTCCGCCGCGCCTCCGTGGGTAGACAGGGCCTTGGCTTGCTTGAGATCCGCGTCGCCTTGAATCTTTTCGAGTGCTTGCTCACCGCGAGACTTGTCGCGCGCAGTTAGATAGATGAGCAGCGAACCATTGTTTAGATGGGAATTGGGATATTGCAGCGCGAGCTGTCGGACTGGTGAGAGAGTAAGAAGTCAGTTGGAATGACGCGATTCCGGGGTGGGATGAGATCCTACCAACTGCAAACCCGATGCCCTTGTTGGCACCGGTGACCACACCAACTCGTGAGTATGTCATGACGTTTCTCGTAAAGGAGACTCTTTAAATACAAAATTGGAAAAGTCAAGATCAAAAGAAGAGGATTTGCTCAGGCAATCTGATCATATTGGCACGAACTGTTTACTGATCCATGACATCACTAAAGTCAACTTCAGTCCGCGCATTAGTCATCGCACGCCGAATTTATTCGAATCTGTTTCGGTAAGGTACTTCGGGAACTACACGCAATCAGGGCATCACCCACCGGAGGAACAAAGCCACTCCGGCAACATGCAAGCACGCCTGGGCCCGACTCCGAAGCTTGACAGTTCGGCCGGGACCCGGAGAAGTGGGACGGACCACTTCGGTCCTCGCCCGCCGCCTGGGCTGCGATGCCACCTCAATGTGCTCTGTACTTTACTTCAGTCCCAATCACAGCGCTGGCCGCTACGTCTTCGACGGCTCTCTCTATTCACCATCCACTCAAGACTACCCCGCACGTTGACCTTTCGTCTAATTGGTGAGCGATGCAGACAAGACAGTCAAATTTTGCCAGTAATTACACCGAAATATGCATTCTAGTGCGTAGCCTGATTCTGAGAGAAGCCATGATGTGCTTGATGCAGCATTAATAGCATAACATATGCATCGCGTGCATCTTGCATCTTGCATCATTTGATAGTCATACTATCGGCACCGTAGAATGCAGCACTCAGAGAAGCAGGAAGCCCATCGTTCAGCCTAAAGCGGTTCCTGTTGACGGCAAGCCTCACTTTTTCTGCAGCTCTTACAACTTGGCTTCAAGCGGCATGGAATGACATGGAATGACATGCATAGCAGCATGAGTAAGTTCATACTCAAGGGTCTGTCAGATGTGGGGATAGAAATTATAAGATGTTCGGTAGAGGGTCTCAACGAATCGACGCAGCTACATATTGTTTTTGCTCGATCGAGAGGCTTATGTGTTTGACCCATTTACTCTACCGTCAATAGCAAACCCACGGTCTAATCAGAATGGCTGAGGTTCTCGGACTCGTTTCAAGCTTCGCAGCGATAATACAACTAGTTCAATATGGCGAAAAGTTCGCAAAAGCCTTGTATCAGTATTCGGAACAGAGAGGCTATCGAGCTGAAAAGATTGAGCACTACGCAAACGATGTCGTAACATTTTCGGATGTCGTGCGTACTGCTCACTTCTCACTCAGTCAACATTGCAAGAAGTATCCGGGATCTCCTGTTCTCGACTTTATCGCAACACAAGGGGTACTCAACAACATAGCCTTTCAGTCAGGATCTGTCGAGCAGCGACTTAAGAAAGCCACCAGCCAGATCAGAAGTTGCCTGGGAAGTAAGAGCTTCGTGCTGAGTTTCTTCAATTGGTTGTACCAGAAGGACTCAATCAAAGATCTATTTCCAGAAATGGAGAGCATCAAAACAAGTCTTCAACTCCTGCTGGCGACGGCGCATTTTGAGATTGTGACCATGGAGCGCAACGACCCGCGTCCGGGGTCAAGCATGACAGACATGAAGGGTTTGGAAATTACCACGTATGCATATCGAACAGCGAAGCGTTTGTCGGGTCGTAGATTCATTCAAGTACTAATTGAGCGCTGGACTAGATATCGCTTGAAGGAGATGATCCAGATGCTGATGAGAGCACTGGTGAACGTTCACGCGGAGAGAAGGGAGATAGACCGCCATAAACCAGCTAGCACGGCTAAAGGGTCGAAGCTATCCATAGGTCAACCCCATGATAGTCTTCTTCAGCTAGGACAAAGTATAGTGGAAACTGGAAAAGTTCCCGAGCCAAACCCCGCCTCAGCTGCTTCATCGTCGTATTCTATCGACAGAACAGAGGTGATGACGCTAACCTTACGGCAAATGCCCATAGACAAAGCTGACAACTTCGCAGATTCACGGACTGTCACGCAGCGGATCAACGATTTCGTCACTTTCAGCTCCTCGGAATATAATACTTGCCTCGGATAATGCCGGACATCGACAACATAAAACACCACCCAGAAAAGTACCGATAAATGGCGCGTATGTTCCGGAACATCTGCTTTATTTGAATAAGATAGTGAACGTCGAGACATCGCATCACACAAGGTCGAGAATTGGACTTCAAATGCTTCCCAATGACCAAGATCAAGATGGTGGAAAAACAACAATGGCATTTATCAACCCAACTTTGCAGGGCAACATCATTTCGAGGCCTGAGGCTCAGAGACTTGGACTCGAGGTGCGGCCGTTGCAGGATGGCAAGGCGATCGGCGTTGTGTTCAACGGGGGACTCTTTCAGAACTGTACTTTTGTGGTCACAGGTATGGCGTCATTCAAGTGGGTTGAACCCATGGGTGTCGGGTCGGGTGGCCTTATATCTGGAATCGATTTTGACTGTTATGTATTGGAGGACTGTAAACCTAAGTTTATCCTTGGGAAGACCTTTCATCGCCTCATGAAGAAGTAGACAAGGGCAGTGGCAAAGAGTGGCTTTCTCCCCTTTCATATGGTCGCTGGAAGCGGGAATAGCCTCACATGAGTACCTTACCTTACCTAAAGTAATCTTGAGTTTAATCAACAAACGATCAAAACGTCTTAGGGATTGTAAAGCGCTAGCCACTGCCTCATCCATAATATTTGAGGCGACATTAGACCCCGACCTCGGGATCAACCTAGGCGAGTGACTAGGATTCATGAATGGCTTTCGGCATGCAAGATGTAAGGCTGGCGTCCGTTCGTTTCTTCGAAAAGTTGACCAATCATTCAACACACACTTTCTGTCACCATTCGTACAAGTTACTACTCAGTAGCCACCACGCCAGTAGCGTCATATAAGTCGCGGCGATACAGATTGTGTTACTACATGATAATCCTAAACAGTGTTGCGAATTGGGTGTTTACTGGGTCGTCCTGGAAACCCTGTTAATCCCCGCAAGACTAGTCGCACCCAGGTTTGCTTTTGCGCACCGCAACTCTCCTATCATCTCCTATCAGTATCTCAGCCCCCGAGAAGATGCAGCCAACCATCGACAACACCTGCGCCCCGCCGCAATCTAGCAAACCCGGATCGGCATGTCGGGGCGGGGCAGAGTTGCACACATCACATCAGCTTATCAGCTGAGATGTGAGGCTTTAAAAGCTGCAATAGGGTACACCGACTCTGTGGCTATGCGTGCCTAACCACTTTCTCATGTCTCCAGCCGGTCTTCTACCTGTCCAGTCCGTGTGTTGCATTCTACATCTCGCTTGAGGACGCGCAGTAATCAGTGACCAAGATGTACAAGGCACAAATCTGGGTTGCCATTGTGGCGGGTATTGAGATCTCCTTGGCTAACTGCAAGCCGAGCACCTCTCAAAGCTGGCCTGGAAACTCGTCGACAACCGTCCCTTCGGTGTTCCCGCTGCTTGAAGATGTGGGATCTGCAGACTTGTTCCCGATGCCACTCTGTGGAACTTTCAAGTTGGAAGAAGCCACAATTGACGAGATGCAAGCAGCATTGACTGCTGGCACACTCACTTCTCAGCAGCTAATCGGGTGTTATATCCAACGAACCTACCAGACGCAGGAGTATATTCAGTAAGTAGATTACTCTAGCTGGCATGTTGGAGTTGCAAAGTAGATGGTTTATCATAACATAAGTGGATGTACACTAATGCGCAAGACAGCTCTATCTTGCAAATCAATCCAGATGTCTTCCAGCTAGCTGCCAAGATGGACTTGGAACGCAAAGCCGGAAAGATACGGGGGCCACTACATGGCATTCCATTCACCGTCAAGGACAACATCGCCTCCAAGGACAATATGGAGACGACAGCAGGCAGCTTTGCGCTTTTGGGCAGCATCGTCCCCCGAGACGCTCACGTGGTCAAGCGCCTTCGCGAAGCCGGCGCTATCTTGTTCGGCAAGGCCGCTCTGAGTGAGTGGGCCGATATGCGCAGCAACAACTATTCTGAGGGGTTCTCGGCTCGAGGCGGTCAGTGCAGAAGCCCGTATAACTTCACACTCAATCCGGGCGGTAGTAGCACGGGAAGCGCTGTTGGCGTCGCGGCGAATGCCATTGCTTTCTCGCTGGGCACGGAGACAGATGGTAGTGTCATTAACCCCGCCGAGCGAAACGCCATTGTAGGATTCAAGCCTACAGTTGGTCTGACTTCAAGGGCAGGGTATGGACCATGTCTCTGGAATCTGATTTTCCGAAGCTTCGCTAATTCGGAGATAGGGTCATTCCTGAGAGCGAGCATCAAGATTCTGTCGGAACCTTCGGCCGCACAGTCAGAGATGCTGTTTACGCTTTTGATGCAATCTATGGCATTGATGAGCGAGACAACTACACCCTGGCTCAGGAAGGCAGGACGCCTGAAGGGGGTTACACTCAATTCCTATCTACAAAGGAGATCCTCAAAGGCGCCACCTTCGGACTTCCCTGGAATAGTTTCTGGGCTCTCGCAGACGATGAACAGAGGGAGTCTCTAGAGCAATTACTCAAGCTCATTACCTCAGCTGGGGCAACGATAATCAACAACACTGAAATCACTGACTATGAGACCATCGTTAGCCCGGATGGTTGGGACTGGGATTATGGCACATCAAGAGGCTACCCGAATGAGTCCGAGTACACGGTCGTTAAAGTTGACTTTTACAACAACATCAACACCTACCTTTCGGAGCTGGAAAACACCGATATCAAGACTTTCGAAGATATCATTGCATTCAACTATGACAATGACGGGACCGAGGGCGGTCATCCTTGGCCACTTGGGACGGCCGCGTTTTACTCTGGCCAAGACGGGTTTTTGGCATCTCTCGAGTCGAAAGGTATCAAGGATGAGACCTATCTTCAAGCTGTCGAGTTCTCCCAGCAGTCAACGCGGAGTGGTATCAATGATGCCCTCACCTCTTCTAATGGGACGAAATTGGCTGGTCTCCTAGTCCCTCCTGACGTCGGCCAGACGTATCAAATTGCTGCCCAGGCGGGATACCCCATGATAACTCTCCCGGCCGGTGTTCGCTCTAGCACTGGAATGGGTTTCGGCTTGGCCATAATGCAAACAGCGTATGGAGAAGCGGAGTTGGTTAAGTGGGGAAGTGCAATCGAGGATTTGCAGTTGACGACAGAGGGAAATCCGTACAAGAGGACTTTGCCTAATTGGTACGAGTACCTCACACGAAATGTGCCAGTCTTCTGATGAGAGAAGACATTTCTGAGTCCAAATTCCCGAGCACTGTACTTACTCAGCAACTTGAAGATGTATCGTCCTGCGCACGCTTTCCGCCTGCATGCAGGGTGATTCATGCCTAAATGAACCGAGTAAGGATTTATAAATAAGCTGAGATGTGACTAAGAGTTAGGGTATCAATTGGGTGGTCTATTTAGCTAGGGAAACACAACCCGGCGAGTTGATATTCTGTGCTAATTCCAATTTCTATTTGGGCATACCAAATCATCGGAGCCGGGTCGGTTCCGGACATTCAGACTGCAGCGATTGCGACAAATTGTTACCTTACCTTACCTGGCGGTGCATTGTGTAAATGTGACCAGACCTGATATCGCACTTTGGGAGTATCCTCCCCTTGAATGAGGAAATCACATTTTGCTAAGTCTAGGATCTGGGGCCAACTTGCCGGGTGGGATGAAATCATGCGCTAACATCCTCCGTTGCTGGCCGAGAGGTTGCATCAGGTTTATGATGGAGCCCATATTAGCTTGTTCCACGAGTCTGCTCTGCGCGAAGGGACTGAAAAGCGTCATCAAGCCAAACACAAAATATCTCAAGACGCCAGGCTATCCCAGACCGGTTCCGGAGTCCGCATGTTCCGCGACTCGAGGTGCATCATAAGCCCGAGTCGTTCATCCCAGGTCCCAGGCTTGGCGACCAACGATTTTTAGTGAAAGACAACAGTGCAGTTTTAACTTTACTCGCGGATAGCGAGGGGGAAAAAGCATTCAGAAATGGATGTACCGTATGCAAGAGCCCAACTTCACACAGGCCAACTACGCCTCGACACTTGGATCAGCTCCCCATCTTACTATGATTGAAGTGTATGCTTCGGCGTCAGTTTTAACATGGCGCATGATGAGCCAATAACTTGAAAGAGCTACACCGTTTTGACGGAAAATGAAATGTTGGATCTGTGTTTCCATGCTTAGTTGAATATTTTCCATCATAGCAGCAAGCCAGAAATAAACGCCCCCCTTTCACCAACGATTTAAGCGGTCAACATCCATGTAGTTTCGACTCAGCATCCGTCAATATTCGTACATGGGTGTAAGTTGTGACCTACAAGTAGACCAAATATCCAGTCTCCTAGGATCTCGGACTTTGTGTCGACAGCACCGCCTGCCACATCCAGAACTCTATCGTCTGATCCTTGGGATGGTGTGTTAGCCGAAGTGCAACCCCTGCCAGGTGTATGGCCGTATTCCGACGATCATCTTGGCTTAAGCAACTCAAATTTTATGTGAAGCGCACATCGAGCTCGCTACCGGCTATGGGGATAGCCAAGAACCAAGTCTATGTGGCTCTATGCTACCTACCTGTTCTGGTCACAAGGTCGCGCGTGCCAAGCATGTCAGCAACGGCCATAGCGGACGTAAGGCTGTGTTGGAAGGGGTCGCACTCTGTTCTTCTTGACGAAGGTTTGGATTCTCGCCGAAGATTGACCTCTTTCGCGTAAGGTAATTCTCGGAGAAATAAGCTGGGAAGGGAGTTTTGATGACTAAAAATTCAAATTTATTGACATGGCTCCGCCGCCAAGACATACCCGACAACGAAGAAGGATCTGATAAGATGGGCCGGCGGGACTCCCGCGCGCTTGAGAGAATTCTCGACAACAGCGGGGCGACTACAAGTCAGTGAACAGAGAGACTTGACTCCGTCAGTTGTTTGTGAGTGGAGAGCGTAACGCAAACAGAGTTTATGACGCAGAAAAAGGAAGTTGACGAGAAAAGAGGTTGCTCAGGACTCGGGAGTTGGGATATTCCCACTTATTCTCTTCTTTGAAATTATAATTTACCTTGAACAGCCTTGTCATGTGGTGACCATCAGCTGCAGAAAAGAGGCTCGGAACCTCGCTTTGACAGTCTCCGAAGGTCAAATTAGCCTAAGATCCCGTTGGTACTTACAGTGCCGTCGCACATAGAGTTGTATAGAACCAACAGCATATGGTTCGCTAATGGATCATGGCCTCCGTAATTCCGTCAACTCGACTCTGTATCCTGTTCAGTTGGTTGTCCAACAGCACCGCCGCACGACTTGGCAGCTTGGCGACTGATCCATCTGGCGGGCCCATCCCCGAGCCTGCCCCTGCATATGTTGACCTTCCGAATCAGAAGTCTGATATGACATGCATTTGTGAGATATACTGTAAGCGTATTCACGGCTCTGGAATGCTTCCGGGCGAGCGCCAAGTGCTTTGCCCTGGACACAAGGAGAGTTGTGTATAAGTAAAACGATTGATCATACCTCATCGTTGGAGTTTGTATGAGTCTCTCAGCAGCCTTCACTCTCTTTTACATAGATAGTATTCTGCGAGTCGGCAGAGACGCTTATTGTTCACTATGCCGTTCTTTCATCAACCCAAGCCCCGGTGGCTGACAATCGCATCCGCGGTTCTCCTCGGAGCAAGCTGTGTCACTGACGCCTATGTGATTCCCCGCCAAATCAACTCATCTCAGTTGCTAAACAGCTACGATTATGTCATTGTCGGTGGCGGAACTGCAGGCTTGACTGTCGCAGACCGTTTGACAGAGGACCCTGAGACCAAAGTCTTGGTTCTCGAGGCTGCAGACTGGGGCAACATGTCCGAGAACCTCAAGGTTTCCTTCCTCACTCGGACTGGAGCGTTCACCGACCTCCTTTGGCCTGGACTCCAGTCTGTACCCCAGCCTGGTCTGAACGGAAGGACAGGCAATGTCTTCATCGCTAAACAGGTCGGAGGTGGTGCGTCAGTGAACGCCATGATGAACATGCGTGGCTCGGCTGAGGACTACGACCGTTGGGCCAGCCTTTTCGGATCCGAGGCTCAGCAGGGAACTGCCGACTGGAGCTGGGACGGTATCTTGCCATACTTCAAGAAGGTAAGAGAGGGAACCTAAAGCAACAACTTCATTGTCGCGACTTCAATCTGACCGTCATTATAACAGGGCCTTCACTTCACTGAGCCGCCTCCCGAGCTGACTGACAACTTTGACAGCGTCAAGTTTGACGCCTCCTACTGGGGAGACTCGTCAGAGATCTATGCCGGATGGCCGCGGTTCTATTACCCTGGTGTTAAGCCCCTAGTTGAGGCTTTCAAGGAGATCGATGGAGTGGAGTTCCCGGCTGACAGCGGTGCCGGAAAGCCCGGTGTCTTTTGGTTCCCCACGCTCATGGATCCCCGTACCGTCACCCGTTCCTACGCTGGTACCGGTCACTATCTGAACGTCAACGCCACTCGTCCTAACTACCATCTTTTGCTTAACACCCAGGCCCGCAAGTTGATTCTTGACGACCAGCTATCCGTTACCGGAGTTGAGTTCCCGTCCGGAAACAAAAGCTTTGTCACTGTCACTGCAAAGAAGGAGGTTCTCCTCGCTGCTGGCGCCATCCACACTCCTCAGCTGCTGCAGCTTAGCGGCATTGGTCCCAAGAGCCTTCTCGAAGCTGGTGGCATAGATGTTCTTGTCGATCTCCCTGGCGTCGGCCAGAACTTCCAAGACCATAGCAGTCTCTCTACCATGAACATTACTCGTAAGTGACGAGACATTTTATGGGCGCGATGAAACGGACCTTCAGTCGACGAAGAATAAAAAAACTAACCCGTCTATAGTCTCTAAGCTTACTGAGATCCACCCTAACCCGAACGACTTAGTTGAGGGGAATGACTTCAAGACTTGGGCCGACGAGGTGTGGGCAGCCAATAAGACCGGTTAGTAGTCCTCCAAGCCAGAGTTATCTCACTCAAATTTGCCTGGCTGTGACTGATTCATGATGATTTCCGTGGGACAGGCCCCTATTCAATTGCACTGACTAACTTGGCCGGCTGGCTCCCTTTCACCGCCGTGTCCGACCGGGCTGAGGAGCTCGCTACCAAGTTGGAGCAACAAGACTATGCCAGTCTCCTGCCGACGGATGCTGCGTCCACAGTCGTCGCTGGCTTCGAGGCGCAGATGAAGATCCTAGCCGCTCAGATGCGATCCAAGGACACGGCATTCACCCGCATGCAGCTCATCGCAGACCATGGATCTCAGGGCCCTGTCGCAATGCAGTCCTTCAGCCGTGGCACCATCAACATCAACACGACCGACCCGTGGAACACTGAGCCTGTGATTGACTATCGCGCCCTGTCCAACCCTCTCGAGGCCGATTTCTTCGTCGAGTCGATCAAGTTCCTTCGCCGCTACAACTTCAACACCTCCCTGGCCACGCAATTTGATCCGGTCGAGTACGCCCCCGGTCCTGATGTCACCTCGGACGAGGATCTCAAGGCTTACATTGCCGGCGCCATGTCACCAACTGACTACCACCCCGTGGGTACCGCATCTATGATGCCACTCAACCTGGGCGGTGTTGTCGACCAGACATTGCGGGTATACGGAGTGAAAAACCTGAGAGTCGTTGATGCTAGTGTCATGCCCATGGTTCCCAGCGCCAACACCTGCCAGCCTACTTATGCTCTTGCCGAGAAGGTGCGTCTGCTCCTCTTGCTTTTCTGTTTCTCTAGCCCCGATGCTCCATTTAACTGACACAGTTTCCTATCAACAGGCAGCGGAAATCATCAAGCAGGGCGTCTGAGCTGGCCCAAGTGATTAATATACGCAAACACATCTGTTTCTTTCGTCTTACTTGTACATGACACAAAAGTGGACGTTTACAGTAGAGTACCATGGTCTAGTTCTACGATATCAAGATATGAAGTACTGCGTTACTATTGATTCAATTGACGTCCAAGTGAGGATACCAGTAACTATCCCGGTAGCTGTGGCAGGATACCATCCGGACTCAGGACAACCATCTTTACATGTCCCTCCCCATTAGCTCCAGATCTAACTTGTCAGTATAGAAATATGATAGAGACGGGCTCCGATCAACCCATCATATACTGCTTCCATAGCATCATACAGCATTGGGTAATGCACATACTTTATATCCAGTCGATTGACATGTTATTGAAGTTACCCGCAGCGGATGATGTGTCATTACATGGG